TTTAACATTTATTTATTGTGTGTGTGTGTGTGTGTGTGTGTGTGTGTGTGTGTGTGTGTGGCCAGCTCAGCCCACCAGGGGGCGCGGCTGGGCGGCATGTGGTGCTGGAGGATTGAACCGCGGTCCCTGTGCTTTGCCAAGCTTGTTCCAAGTAGGTGCTTTAGACCACTGAGCCATCTCTCCAGCCCCAGCAAGATTATTTCTGGTGTGTCTATGGCACGGTCATTGTCAGAACCTGGCTGCCAGGAGGTGGGAGGTGGATTCAGGCTTGAAGGCAGCACTGCCCTCCAGCTTCATTTGGGAGCCCCAGAAGGTCCCGTCTGCATTCCCATCGCCTTCCATCTGCCTTGGGATAAGTATTGCCCAGCACTGGAAGTTTCCTCTGTCGTGGTCCAGGACACCAGGGCACCTACCCCCGGCCAAACCCACCACCAGACTTGCTGCCGACCTGGAGCACCTACCGGATTGTTGCTGGTCTTCCCGGCGAGGATGACACGGGCTTTGACTTTGTTCATGTTGAAGTTCTTCAGGTAGGCCTCGTAAATCCTCTTGGCCAGGGACTTGAGGTCAGCAGTCTCGGCGTCCTCGACATCCTGGTCGCAGGTAAGGATTTCTGCTTTCAGCTTTGCCTTCTCCGATCTTGGCATCCGTCCGAAGCGAATTGCTGGGGGAGAAGTGGGGACGGGGTCAGGGGAACAGAGCAGAGCAGGGAGGAGGGCGTGCAATGGTGGCAAAGTGACACAGGTGGAGCGAGAAAGACACTCCTGCTGTGAGCTGGGCTATGAAGGGAAGCAAAATCCAGTCTACTAAGGAGAGAGAAAAGCAAGTGCAAACTCCAGGCTTCAGGAGAAGGTTACAGGGGAAGCCAGCGCCAATCGCTGGCGCCCAGCAGGACTGCTTCTGTCATAAGGGAGGTACGGCAGCCGCAGGACAGTCCCCGGGTGACCTCTGTCTTCTCCCTGCAGCCCTGATACGCTACTCATCTCAAGGTCTGTGCATGGCATGACTCAACACCGCAGAACTCAGAAGATGGTAAATTGTTTGAAAGGACAGCCGCTTCATGGGGTGATGGGACAGATCTGCCACCCCCAGGGTTTCCAGCTGGTTTGTAAATTTTTTCCCTTTTCTGGGGACTGAACTGTAGTTCACAGAGCTGCGTCCCCAGTCCTTTGTATTTTCTGAAGCAGAGTCACACTAAATGTACGTTGTCCAGGCTATGTTCAACCTCGTGATCCTTCTGTCTCAGCCTCCCAGAGAACTGGGATTACAGGCACAGCCACCATGCAGGACTCCTACGGGTTATCCCTGTGTCCTGCTCCTTGCGGTCAGGAGAGACATTTCCCTCCTCCTGAAGTCTCCCTGGTTACGAAGTGACCTGCCTGCTAAAAGGTACAGCATGTTCACTCAAAGCATGTGTGGTGCATCCCAGCTGAACAGGCTGGGTAAATCGAGGCACAGCCTGGGACGCTGTCCTGGGCAGCCCCGCCTACCGTTGTGTGACATCCCGACGGACAGGCACTTGTGGAAGCGGCAGTACTGGCACTTGTTCCGATTCTTTTTCTGAATCCTGCAGCTGCGGTCGCACTTGTCATACACCAGCTTCAGCCGGATGGTCCGCCGGAAGAAGCCCTGCGGGGGCCACACAGCAACGTGAGGGCCGAGGCACCCGGTCAGCCACCTTTCATTTGTTCGCTCTCTTTTTAAAAAATATTTGTTTATTTATTTATGTGTTCGGCACAGAGTCTCACTATGCAGCTCAGACTCGTAGTGCTCCTCCTGTTTTCAGCCTCCCTAGCACTGGGGTTACAGGAGTGTGCCACCACACCTGGCCTCGGTGGCCTGCTCCTGCGCCGGGGGCGGGGCCAGTATGGCATGTGGTGCCCGGGATCAAACTTCTGACCTTGCACTTGTACTTGCCAGGCAGGCTCTTAGACCACAGAGTTACCTCCCAGCCCTGTTGTCTCTTTTTAACTTTACCACATCGAGAGAGGCAGTTCTAAAATGCCTCACGTGACCAGGACCAACATGAAACTTTAAATTTCATCGCACTAAAGATGAAAACACACACACACACACACACACACACACACACACACACAACCCAATAAGCAAAGACAGAATTCAAAGCGATTCCACAACGGCCCCATCTGACTGGGGAGGACACGGTGGCAAACTGCAAGGCCACTCGGCTCTGCCTCTGTCCCTGACTCACTCTGCAACAGAGCCATGAGGGGGGGACTCAGAACTTCCTAGGAGGGCCAGCCAGATAGTTCAGGGGTTAAAGTGCCTACTTAGGCAGGTGCAGGGACCGGCACTGGATCCCCAGGGTGCCGTGCCAGCCCCGCCCCTGGGGCACCCTGAGACTGCGACTGTGACTGGGCGTGGTGACACGCACCTGTAATCCCAGTGCTTGGGAGGCTAAAACAGGAGGATCACTGTAAGTCTGATCTCTATAGTGAGACCCTACAGACCCTGTACTAAATACATTAAAAAAAAAAAAACTTTCTGGGAATTTTTCTCAGACAGTATTACCTTTCTAAAAGAAAAAATATCTGATAGAAGGAAGCCAGGTATTGTGACCAATTTCCCTGCTTTATGAATAGCATTTAAACAGTACCTGGGAGGAAACAATTCTACCAGGAAGCCCACAAAATGCCACAGCTAAGCAACGACCGAACTGAGGCTCCGCAGGAGAAGCAGCTGCGCTTAGGTGTGAGGCTGGGACAGCTGGCAAGGAGTTTGTTTTGGTTCTGGGTCCCTTTCTTGTCTTTGCTTTTAATACATTCCCACCGGCTTGACCCACCAGCAGGACACAGTGGCTCCCTTCAGGCGCCTGAACCACTGCTGGCACTAGCAGGTCTAATCACTGCGACCTTCCTTTTTACTAATCAAATTAATAAGAGTCTACTTAGTCACTTAAATGTGAGCAATTACTGCCAAAATATAAATAGTAATCCTACTCATTCAAATTAAAATTATTACAATAATCAACAAATGTATTCTACCAAATTAAAAGAAATTTATCTTTGTGATTTTCTTTTTGTTAAAAAATCATGTATTTATGTATTTGGTACACAGACTCACTATGCAGCTCAGACTCATAGTGATCCTCCTGTCTCAGCCTCCCTAGTGCTGGGACTACAGTTGAAATGCCACCACGCCTGGTTTTGGTGGCTGGCAGGGCATGTAGTACTGGGGATCGAACCAGGGTCCTTGTGCTAGCCAGGCAGGTGCTTAGACTGCTGAGCTATCTCTGCAGCCCTATTTTTGTGAATTTTCAACAAACATTTTATGCATTAAGGTGGCTAATTTGCGCCTGCGTGCAAAGCATGGTAAGGTGTGGCTCTGCTGCCGCCAAGTGCTGCCTGTTTTATCAGCCACGTGGTGCCACTGGTGGATCAAGCCAACGAGATGATAAAATTCAAGTCAGAGCTGTTGGCAACAAGGGACGCAGGGGTGGGCCCATCGCATATTTGTAAAGTCGCGTCTCTGCGTGTCCCATGTGGCAGGTCTCAGGGGCTGCAGGAACGAATGGCTCAGCCATTTCTTGGGGATGGAGGGGAGGCTGCTGTCTCTGTCTGGCTTCCTAACCTGGGCCAGAGAGAAGGGTACAAGATAGTACGCTGAGCACCAGCAGCACGAGGCCCCAGCTGGCCTGGCAGGGCAGCGCACCCACATTCTGAGAACACAGACGAGGTGAGGCTGCAGCGTTTCCAAGTTGGGGAACCCTCTGCGTACTCTGGGAAGGGTCCTCTGAGCAAACAGTCCAATTTTGGAGCCCCTGCACTTTTGCACCTGGAGAGATGCACCCGAGGTGTCACGTGACCTCAGGAGGCCTGCAGTGGGTGGCAGGCCTGGGTCCTCCTGCAAGGGCACTGGATCTGGGCCGCAGTTGGGCGGGACCAGGCACCGTGTGACCCCAGGTAAGATGCTGACATCTCCGGTCACTGCTGTCCCAAGAGTCACTGAGGCCAGGTAGAGTACTGACCCGCCCGCCTCAGCGAAGCTGGTGGCACTCTTCCAGGGCTGCCTGCTCCTGCTCCACAGTAGTTCAGAGCAGGGCGTGCGGCCTCTCCAGGGCCCCTGAGAGCGCCAGCCTGCCCGGGTCAGCGCCCTGCCACAGCTTTATGCAGACAGAAGCCACCGCGCCAGCCTCGCCTCCCCCGAGGCCCTCACCTTGCAGCCTTCACACGCATGCACCCCATAGTGGTAGCCCGAGGCCTTGTCTCCACAGATCCTGCACTCGATGTTCAGGGCACCGTTGGGAGGCTCATCCGCACCGCCAGGGACTGCGGGGTAAATGACGGAGGACGGACTTGACGCCGGTGACAGGGTGTCTGTGGGAGAGACAGGATGTGTCCATGGAAATCCACGGTGTCATGAGCTGGGGCTTACCGGGTCTCTGACAGAGTTGGCAGAGGAGGCGTGCAGGTGCGGCCTAAGCCAGGGGAGGGGTGCTGGTCCTGAGCCAGCTGCTGTCCCCAGGCCAGGTCACACCCTCCTGTCCCCCATGGCGACCACAGCACAGGGCTCCCCAGGCCCAAGTGCTCCCCCATGTCAGCACAGCTGTGACTCGGGCCCCATCTGGCCTCCAGCCGCGTTCTGCTCCCCGCACTCCCGCAGGAACTGCTGGTTTCCTTCCTTTTTACCTTCCCTCCCTCCCTCCCTTCTTTCTTTCTTTTTTTCTTGTGTCTTTTCTTTGTTCCTTCCTTTCTCCCTCCCTCCCTCCTTCCTTCCAGATCTTCAGCTGCTAATTCAGTAAATGGAACCAAAACAGTGTCAAATTCATACAGGCAATACCCGTGGCATCTGCCACAATGGTAACGAATATGTTGGAATTTATAAGCATTTTAAACTTCTGTTAAGAAAATGAAAAGACAAACCAGAGACTGGGAGAAAATATTCCACAAAACCCATGTGATAAGACTTGTATCCAACATACACAAAGAAGCCTTAAAACAGGAAACAAACGGCCCAATCAAAAATGGACTAAAGACCTGAGCAGACCCTTCTCCGAAGAAGACAGACCCTCTGGCCCCTTCCCTTGGGGACTTGTGGATTAAACAACAATGGTGCACCACTGCACATCCACTCGTTAAAAAAAAAAAAATCTGACAGCGGCGAAAGCGACTGACGACTCAGCTGTAGGATGCTCACCTGCCATGGGGACGTGGAACAGGACGGCCACCTCCCGGACAGCTTGGCAGTCTCTTTTTGGTACCATGAACTAAACTCAGGACCGCGCGCTTGCCAGGCCGGCTCTGTGCCGCCGAGCTATCATCCCAGCCTGCTTGGCTGTTTCTTACAAAGTGAAACAGCCTCCCGGCGTGCTAGGCAGGGCCCTTCGGGGCACAACCCAACCTATCTGGACACTGCTGTCCACACAGAACCCCAGGGGCGCATGTGCTGCGGGTTTATTCTTAATTGAGTAACCAAACTGTGGTGCAGCCGTTCAGCGGGGCAGCACGCCTTGGAAGGGCAGCTGTGCCCTGAGCACCCACTGTCACGCGCAGAAGCCAGACTGAAGGGCCCCACCCCACGAACAGATGTGGGGCGTCCCGGTCACAGGCCCATTGCTAGCCAGCGCCCGACACCCAAAACTTGGAGAAGCACAGGGTGGCTTTGGCTCCTGTGTCCGTGGCTCCGAGGGGAGATGGCAGTGTGCGGTGACAGCATAACCTCGGCAGCCAGCAAAGCAGGAGCCAGGGAGGGGCACGCCCCACGCCCCACGCCCCACGCCCCACGCCCCCCTTCCCCTCCCAGCCGTGCAGTGAGCCAGGACCTCATAGCAAATCATGCCCTGATATGCTCAGCACCCGTGATCCGGCCACCTTTCAAGCACGTGACAATTCTGGGGGAAACTCTCCCCTCTGACCCTGACACCGGTGTTTGGAGGAGGCACGCCACAGCGGTGGCTGGAGGGTGGTCGCTGGCAGGTGCTGGAAACGGGGTACAGGCCTCTGAGCTGCTCTCCATAGGAAAACCTGACTAACTCTGGTGCCACGCACGTCAAGCCCTGCGGAATGTGACGGCTAGAGTGACCTTGAGTGTGTACAAATGACACAAAAACAGGATGGGGTCCCTGGATGGAAGCAGAGGTGACAAAGCCGTGACTGCTACGAAGTGCGAGGAAGAGCCTGGGGCGGGGCCGGCGGCAGCCTTGGCAAGGCGGATCTGTGAGGCCTGCAGGTGGGATGGCAGGGCAGGTGAACTCTTCCCATCTGAATCCACGCAGGCCACAGGCCAGGGCCCAGGAGGTGGCGGGGGAGGGCGCCGGTCACTGCTGGAGCCTAGGTCACGGACAGCACCAGGAGGGGTGTGAGCTTGTGTTTAGTGTAACACAGAGCAGGGGGCTGCACGTGGACAGGTCCACAGGTGTGTGTGCACACACCTGTGTGTGTTAGCACACACACGGGCATGCCCTGCTCTTCCAGCTGAGAGCCGAGAGGACGTGCTCCTGCATAGCAACCTGCAAGAACAACATCCCGCTCTCCAGGGCTCACGTGGCCCTGTGCCACCTCTCCAGGGACACCCAGCACCTTCAGGCTCAGTGCTTAACAGCAGGCAAATTGCCTGGGAGACAAGGGCTGCCCTGGGCCCGTCTAACAGAGCCTCAAGAGGAGCCCCTACAGGATCAAACATTTCCCAAGGAACAGAACTGCACCCCACAGCAAAGCTCAGGGATGTTTAGAGGGCCCAGAACCACCCAGCAGCCAACAACTTTCACTCTGTGGTGTCCAATAAAAATTGTAAGACATCCAAAGAGTCAGAAGAATAGGGCCCATGATGAGAAAAAGCATCAGTGAGCTGAAGGGGACCCAGGAATGAGAGACGACAGAATCAGAGCCAAGCCAATAAAAGAAGTTGCTCTGATCACGCGTCAGACATTCCAACGTTACAGGAAAGACTGGAGGTGTTAGGCAGACACAAGGGTAGAAGAACCGAGCTGTGATTCCACTGGTAGGAAGTACAGTGCCCATGTGGAATGCTCTGACAGATCTGACTGCAGAAGGAGACTCCCTGACATGGAGATAAAGAAATGAGATGGAGGAGGAGGAGCAGGAGGAGGGGATAGAGCAGGCGGCAGCGGAGGAGCTGGAGGAGGAGGAGGAGGAGGAAGAGGACAAGGGAGAGGTGGAGGAGGAGGAGGTAATGGAGGAGGAGGAGCATGAGGAGCAGGAGGAGGGGATAGAGGAGGAGGAGGCAGAGGAGCTGGAGGAGGAGGAGGGCATGGAGGAGGAGGAGCAGGAGGAGCAGGAGGAGGGGATAGAGGAGGAGGAGGAGGCAGAGGAGCTGGAGGAGGAGGAGGGCATGGAGGAGGAGGAAGAGGACAAGGAAGAGGTGGAGGAGGAGGAGGAGGAGGTAATGGAGGAGGAGGGGATGGAGGAGGAGGGGGGGAGGAGGAGGGCGTGGGGGAGGAGGAAGAGGACAAGGGAGAGGTGGAGGAGGAGGTAATGGAGGAGGGGGGAGGAGGAGGGGATGGAGGAGGAGGGCATGGGGGAGGAGGAAGAGAACAAGGAAGAGGTGGAGGAGGAGGAGGTAATAGAGGAGGAGGGGATGGAGGAGGAGCTGGAGGAGGAGGAGGGCAAGGGGAAGGAGGAAGAGGACAGGGGAGAGGTGGAGGAGGAGGAGGTAATGGAGGAGGGGGGGAGGAGGAGGGGATGGAGGAGGAGGAGCAGGAGGAGGGGATAGAGGAGGAAGAGGAGGAGGAGGGGATAGAGGAGGAGGGGATGGAGGAGGAGGAGCAGGAGGAGGGGGTAGAGGAGGAAGAGGGGATGATGAGGAGGAGCAGGAGGGGGTGGAGAAGGAGGAGCAGGAGGAGGGGACAGAGGAGGAAGAGGAGGAGGAGGCAGAGGAGCTGGAGGAGGAGGAGGGCATGGGGGAGGAGGAAGAAGACAAGGAAGAGGTGGAGGAGGAGGAGGTAATGGAGGAGGAGGTGGCGGAGGAGCTGGAGGAGGAGGAGGGCATGGGGGAGGAGGAAGAGGACAAGGAAGAGGTGGAGGAGGTAATGGAGGAGGGGGGGAGGAGGAGGGGATGGAGGAGGAGGAGCAGGAGGGGGAGGAGGAGGGGATGAAGGAGGAGGAGCAGGAGGGGGTGGAGGAGGGGATGGAGGAGGAGCAGGAGGAGGAGGAGGAGCAGGCTGAAGGAAGAGAACTCGGCACTCGCGAGGCGGAGCCTACTTAGTGAACCCATGCGTGCTAGGCACTTCAACTTGGAGAGTAATGGAAGATGCCTCGCTAAACGGGGAGAGAGCCACCGCGTTCACGGGGCAGAGCCTGGCACTGGGAGGACGCGCTTCTCACACCGGCTGTTGGGGGAGGCAGCCCCAGCCTGGGTCCCAGCGGGCTTCCCTCGTGCAGCAGAGCTGGGCTGGCGCGAGACCTCTGGAAACGAAGAGTGGAGTCGGGAGCTTACTTCTGGTGACTGCAGGCCTTCTTGTGCACACGCGGGGATCAGGACGTCGGGGGCGGGGGGGGGGGTCAGAGAAACAGGGAGACTGGGTGGGATGAAGCGCCCCAGGACGCGGCCGGCCGGCACTCGACCAAGACAGAAACAGTTCGGTGGAGGCAGCTTTTTTTTTTTTTTAAATAATCTGTAGCAGATTAATTGCAAATGAGGAAAGAAATTTTAACTCATACAAAATTAAATCAACAGGTCTTAGACTTAAATGTCAAACCTACAAGTTACCGAAGATGTGATCTGGGGCCAGGAGAAGATTCTTTCCCTCTCCCTCCCTCCCTGTGTCCCTCCCTCCCTCCCCCTCTTTTCCTTCCTCCTCTTCCTTCCTTGGAGATTGAACCCTAGAACCTGTGTACTACATCTCTAGCCATTATTTGACCCGGGTATCACTAATACCTGAGCTGGACTTGAACCTGGCAATCCTGCCTCAGCCTCCCCGAGTACTGGGACTGCGAGGCAAAGATTTCTTACACATGTCACAAAACACGCGCCCTGTGAAAGAAAAGACCTGCATAAACTAAACTTCATCAAAGTTAAGAATTGATTTTTTTTTTTTTTTTTTTTTTTTTTGAGATCAAGTTCTCACTATGTAGTTGTGGCTCATTTTAAATTGGGAACCACTCTGCTTCCCTCAGTACTGGTCCCCTCAAGGCTGGGACTGGGGCGGACACCACCCTGCCTGGTTTTAAGAAGTGCTTTGTGCAAGACACAGTTAACAGAAAAGACAGATCACAGACTGGGAAAGAGTATCTGTAAAACACCTGGTTAGGGCACTTGTATGCAGAATACATAAATTCTTACTAGTCAGTAATAAAGGTGGGGGCCGGGGAGATAGCTCAGTGGCATAAGAGCCTGCGTGGCAAGCACAAGGTCCTGAGCTCGATCCCCCATGCCCCGTACACACACGTCAACAGTAAGGAAACAACTTGATTAAAAGGTGGACACGCTGGGCATGGTGGTGCAAGCTTGTAATCTCAGTATTTGGGAGGCTGAGGCAGGAGGATCGTCCTGAGTCTGAAGCCAGCCTGGGATACACAGAGAGTTCAAAGCCAGCCTGACCTACAGAGCAAGACTTTGCCTCAAAACAACAACAACAAAGTGAACAGAACATTTGAACGAAAACCTCACTGAAGAAAATACAGCGCAAATAATGACTTGACGAGAAACCCAATATCATTAGAGAAATGGGAGCTAAGCTCCTCCCAGTGGGTGCCAGCACACACCTGCCTGAAGGGTGTAGGTGTCAAAGGCCGAAGACAGCTCCCGCAGGTGAGGGCGTTGGTGGGAACAGAAACTGGTACCCTGCTTTGGAAAAGATTTGGGCAGTTTCTCGAAGAGTTCTGCAAATACCTAGCCTACACCTCAGCCACTCTGCTCCCAATTTTGGACCTGAGAGAAAAAAAAAAAAAAAGCAGACCTCTGCACAGGGGACCCACTCGTGAACATCCTAGGCTGCCCTGTTCACGCAGCCCAGACTGGTTACAGCCTGCGTGTTCATGAATGGGGGCCTGGACGACCCACCACATCATATCCCGGTGGATAAAGACAGGAGCCGCACACACATGCCCCAAGGCAGGGCGACCCCCAGTCCTGTCATGGGAAGGTAGGAAGCATGGTTCCGCTGATACGAAACTGTCGGAAATACAAACTAACCTGTATGGACAGAGAAGAGATCCGTGGCTGTGGGGATGGGGGCAGTGGGGAAGAAGAGGAGCTGCAAGGGAGCCCAGGAAATGTGGGGGCGAGGGTCAGAGCCGCGTCTGGATTTCAGTGATGGTTATACAGGGGCGAGTGTGTGTGTGTGTGTGTGTGTGTGTGTGTGTGTCCCCTTGCACATCCATCAGACTGTATACTTTAAAAATATGCAGTTTATTGTATGTCCAGTAGATGTCCACAAGGCTGGGAAGAAAAAGCCACGATGACCCACCAGTGTGCCCTTCTGCACAGGAAGTTGGCGCAGCTGAGATGAAAGATTTAACTTACAAACAGGGTCATCTTTATGTTGCCTCCTGAATTAGCCAGCCACAGTACACAACGCAAAGCCTGAAGACTTGTGAAGTGATCCCACCCTCAGCCCGTGTGCGTGGCCCCTAACAGGATGTTCTCAGGGGGAGGAGGGAGTCAAGACAGTGAGGGCAACATGCCCTCCAAGCGAAGAAGCAGGGTGGGGGCGTGGTAGGGAGCCTCCCCTCCGAATGCCCTCGCACGCCACCCGCCACCCGCAGGCTGCTCCCAGGCCCAGCCCCACCCTCTCGCCTTAATATCCCCTCATTCTTGAGGACCGATCAGGCCGGCAGTCTCCCAAACCAGTGGACAGCAAAGGCTTAAGGACATGAGACAAATGACAGATTTCAGGGCTCCAGGAGGACCCCAACCCTCTCCCAGAGATTTTCTGGGGCGTTAGACCAAGAACTTCTCTTAGTGGCCGGCCCGCATTTATTATGTTGTCAAGCAAAGGAGGGGGATACTGGAGAAAATGCAGGAATCAGGGCAGGACTCGGGAGGCCTCCCAGGGCTTCCGCAGGTACACATATGTTAACTTAGGAGAGCTTCGTCATCTCCAGGAAGGCGCTCATGAGGGAGAGCCCGCAGCTGCAGTCTCCATCTAGCTGACCGGGGCGGGAGGCAGGTGTCCCTAGTGGTGGCCTTGTCCTGTCCTTTGAGGCCTCAGTGGGACCCGTGCCTCACACAGGCTCACTTGCTATGCGCCCGCTGCCCCGGGCCTTGGGCACACTCGCAAGCAGGCACGGAAAGCCAGCTGGCTGGATGAAGTCCTGCGCAGAGCTGCTTGCTGGTGTCGCCCTCACAAGCCCTCCAGTCCCACCCATGCCCACTTCCCTAGAGCTGCTGCTGATGCCCAGGCCCTGGCTGCCTTCCGCCGGGCCTAGAAAGATGACAGGCACCACAATTTCACCCAGGATCCCATGGGACAACTATACAGTTGTCAGAGCTTACTTCTGTGATGCAGTTTTCATTTTTCTTTTGGTACTGGGGCTTAAAGCCAAGGCCTTCATGCTGAGCTGTGGCCCCAGTCGCCCCTTGTACATTTTACTTTTTTCTACATTTTGAGGCAAGGTCTTGCGAAGTTGCCCAGGTTGGGTTTGAACCTGTGGTCCTCGCAGAGTGCTGGGGTAACAGGCCTGCGTCACCAGGTAATAGCCGGGAGATGGTTAATATGAAATTTCCTGCTGGGAAATCTTTTTATAATACCAGGAGTCTCCGCATTGAAGAAATGCACACTCGCAATATTTAAAAAACATCGCTGCCTGCCTTGGCTAAGCTCCAGGCATCATCTGTCCTGCACGGTGACATTTAGGGGGGGACCCTGTGAGACGTGAGATTCGGCTCCCACGTGCTGGCCCAGATACTTTCACGTCAACATTTCTTGGCGAGCCTGTGTGCTTAGCTGGGCGTTGTGGTACACACTTGTAATCCCACCACTTGGAGGCTGAGGCAGGAGGATTGCTGCAGTTTTGAGACCAGCCTGGGCTACAAAGTGAACTCAAATCCAGCCTGAACTGCATAGTGAGACCCCGTCTCAAAAAGACAAAAAAACAAAAACAAGCAAACAAACAAAAAAAACCTGTGTGGCTTCATATGTCCCCCCAGGGGACATGGTTCTGGATGGCCTCCCAGAAGTGGCACACTCACCCGTGATGACTGATCCGTCCGAGCCAGGGCCGCTTCCTAAATACTGGTATTCCGCAAAACCAAAGCTCCCGGAGCTGTCCTCGCTGAGGGACTGCGAGATGTCCTGGATGGCTCCCATTTCTTGGAGGAAGTACTCAGACAGGGGGCTCTCCAGGTCCTCAGCCTCCAAGGGGGACAGGGGACACAGGGGGCTTTCCATGTCCACCATGTTGGTGGGGTGGAGCCAGTCCAACCACTGAGATCTGACCTGCGAGAGGAAAGAGGCCAGGTGAAACCAAAGCCACGCGAGGGCCTGAGCTTCTGCTTTTACACGGAACATCGCTTACTGCAGGATGCTGCGGGCCATCTTTTCTACACAAAGATGGGGGGGTACTGGAGAAAATGCAGGAACCAGGGCAGGACTCGGGGTGCCCTCCAGGGCTTCCCCAGGCACACATATGTTGACTTAGGAGAGCTAAGTTAACCTAACGTAATGTAGCATCTTAAAGATGTTGGGAGGTACATTAGGAAAATGATTTTGTTTCTTTTTTGCAGTACTAGGGATTAACACCAGAGCCTTTGGGTCTCACTGAGTTGTCTAGGCTGGGTTCAGGCGTAGGAGCCTCCTGCCTCAGCCTCCCAGAGTGCTGTGATTACAGGTGTGCACCTGGCAGAAAACGACGAATCTTGAAGTGACAAAACATACAAGGAGAGGGGCCTGGGAGACAGCTCAGTAGACTAAGCGCTTGCCCGGTAAGCGCAAGGGCCTGAGTTCAACCGCCAGTTCTGGAAAAAACAAGCAAACAAACAAAAAGCCATACAAGGGGACCGGCAAGACAGCTCAGCAGACTACCGTGCCTGTTCAGGGACCGCCAGCAACCACATGCCATGCTAGCCCCACCCAGGGCAGGCTGAGCCAGCCGGAGTCTGGGCATAGTGGCGCACACCTGCGGTCCCATCACTGGGGAGGCTGACAGCAGGAGGATCCCCACGAGTACGAGCTGTGTAGCAAGACTCTGCAACAACCAAATACATGAAAAAAAAAAACAAAACAAAAAACCCCCACCAGGGGCCCAGCCCTATGCACTGGAAACCATTCATTCTCTGGACCGCGACCTCATCCAACCGCAGCACGGCAGGTGCTGCTGAGCTCCTATGGGCAGAAGCGCGTCCCTGAGGTCACAGAGCTCCTCTAGTAGAGACACAAAGGGGAACAGAGGAGCCAACGTGAGACAAACCTCCGTGGAGACGACACAACACAGACAGGAATGGTGAAGAGCAGGTCTTTGGTACTGGAGGTGCTGCTGGCTGGGGCTCCCAGGACGAGGCCTCCGCAAGGTGTGCAGGGGTCCTGCGCCAGAATGTTCCGGGGCAAAGGATGCCACGCACGAGGGATGTCGGAACATCCTAGTGCCACAGAGAGGCGGGGAGCCTCAGGCTGGGTGGGGGCCCAGGGAGAGCAGGCCCAGGGAGCTGGCCGGCATGCTGTGTACCACATTCACCTCGAAGCCCACCTGTACCCTTCAGGACACACGGGTAGTCCTAAAGGAGACAATCAGCCAATGCGGGAGAACATTTCCCAGAAGGGTACAAGGACAAAATGGCGGAGCATCCTGTGTTGATCTCCTCCACACCTCAGCCCAACTAGCTCAAACTGTTACCTGGGAACCCCAGACAAGGCCCAGTCTCCTCAGCTCAGTTCCAGCTCTTGGAACTCACCCCCGCTTGATCGTGGCTGGCATATCTCTCCGGCCCATGGGCATCCAGTCCACTACCACATCACTGGTCCCCACAGCATCTCTTCCCAGGCCCACCTGCAGGGACCTCCCTTCCTGTGGCTGCTTTCCTACAGCCCTGCTTCCTGTCACATCCCTAACCCTCTGGCTCCTGAGTCCTCCAGGGATGCTGAACTTGTTTTCCCATCTGATCCTCAGAGAGGGCCAGAGAAGGCACGTGTGGCCCTGGGATCGGGCCCTGTGTGAGGCAGCTCTGGACCTGTCCTGACCACAGCATGCTGGTGATGCGGGCAGGGGTGAAGGACACTTTCCACAGCACATGCCCATCTTCCCCACACCTGTGGGGGACAGTGACATCTCAAATTTGCTCAGTGTAAAGCTCTGAGTGCAGGTGAAGAGGTGCCGGCTTCCCCAAGAAATGGATTCCCACATTTCCGTGAAATTCTCATCTCCTGCTTGGAGTTCTACCAAGTGATCACAGGCCAAATAACAGAGACTCCTGACCTTCTCTAGCTTCTATGAGCGCGGCCATGCTGCGCAGCCACGTGTTATCTCCTTGGGGTGCAGGGAGTTGGGGGTTCACACCCAGGCCTGCTGTGGGCCAAGCACTGAGCTCCACCCCAGCCCTGCTGCTGCGTATTCTGCAAGGATCGCCGCAACTGGTAAACCAGAACAAGCATAAGTGTTCCTTAGCTGAGTACAAAAAGTTCAAAGCCACAGTCATTAACTCTCAGTGCTGGCCATGAAGTTCACCCTGGAACGGCCGGGGCTGGGCCACCTCCTTTCTTGTCCCTGCTGTGTCCTCAGCACCATGGTGGCCCCCATGTCCCCCAGTGTCCTTTCCCCACCTGCACATCTCATGCAATGGTGCCAGCCTCCTTGTCCTTAGCTCCAGGGAGTTGGAAAGTTTTGAAATCTTACCATTTCAGCTTCGTTCTGACCGTTCTGCTGTCCGTCTCCTTGTACAGAACTGAGATGCATGTGGAGAGGCGCTGGTCCTGCCGTTAACAAGCCAAACGGGACAAAATCCGCACACAAAGTGAGGCAATCGCAGCTTGGACTCTGGCCGGTTTTCACACAGACCTCGGAACATCCCGGCCCTTCTGCATCCACCGCAGCAGATAAGCCCTCTCTCCCCTTTGAACCAGTCCCCCAGATAAATAGTGGGGTCACGGGGCCCACCCCCCACCGAATCCCTGAGGTTTCCAGCAGGAGCTGGCATCAGGTAACCTTAGGTCAAGAGAAGAAATGTCACAGGCGGTGCCCACTACCTCAGCTCGTGTTGTGCAAAGCACAACCAGCAGGGACGTTCTGGGGCCCGGGTCCCCGCAGGCTGGCCAGCTGCAGCTCCCCCACCTGGCTCTGGGCTTGGGCCTTGAGGCTTGTAACTGAACACTGATCAATGAAAATATCCTTGTGGGAACTACGAGGCAGGGTGGCTGAAAAGCTCTGGACATTAATTAAATAAACAAGAAACGCGCGTGCTCACAGAGCCTGAGCAGGGTCAGGCTCCGTCTCACTGGCAGCTCTTGCGTGTGACAGTCTGGTGAAGGAGGCGAGGGGCTAAACCTGGAGGCGATGGGGGGGGTGTGGCGGCCACGCAGCATGTCCAAAGACGGCAGAGGTGGATGGAGTGCACATCTGCATCGGGAGGCCAAGGGGCCCGCACGGGAAAGGCCCCCAGGGGTTTGCAGAGAGAAGTGCGGGGACCGAAAAAGCACAGAGAGGACACCGAGGCCGGAGCACACCATGAGACACCGGAGCAGTACATGCCAGCCGGGGCCCAGCGGGGCGGAGCGCGGTGGGTGGTCAGCAGGGCCCCTGCGTGCTACCCCTGTCCTGAGCCTTGGCCCGCACTGGGCTGGGGCTCTGCACGCTGCAGGCCTGGCTGTGGGGCCTGGCACATAGCAGCCACTCATTAAAGAGGTGCCCAGAGTATGCCTGACTCCACCTTAGCAGTGACAGATGTAGCACGCTAGAGGGCTCCCCCTAAGGTGCTGCGAAGAACCAGGACGACTTGTAGTCCCAGCTAGCCAGGAGGATGAGGCAGGAGGATCCTGAGTGAGGCCAGCTGCCCAACAAGGCGAGGCTCCAGCTGGAAGATCGGTCATTTGGATGGAACAAAAGAAGCCAAGGGAGGCGAGGGTACCCACTGCAGCTGACGCACCCTCACAACCCTGAGTTGCTGTCGTGCGTGCTGGACCTACAGGGCACTTGACAGATATTTTCTGAAATGACCTACAGCATAGCCAGGAGCTTGAGCCTGTCTCAGCTCTGCTGTTTCCCATGCTACACGATGGGGGGGAGGGCTCAGCTTGCGTTTCCACTCTCTGAACTTCCCTTGCAACGAGTGCATCAGGGCGGACAGACACAGAGGTCAGCCTCCAACTTCGTGGCTGCGCCCTTCTGCACAGCCAGACCCTCCATGGTGGCACACCTCCGGGGCCCATCTGCCCAGACCACACGCCCTGCAGCAGTCCCTTCAAGCAGGGAGAGACCTAAAGGTGAGAGATGGGGCTTCCCAGAGGAGCCGCAGGACTGTGTGCAGGGCCTGGGTCTCGCTTTCCCACCAAATTCCAATTCTCTCCCTCATCAGAATCTGCCTAGCTTCTTAGATGTTAAAATTAATACCCAGAATCCTTTGGCTCCATGTTTTGGGAGCTAGAATCTAACAACAGTTCAGAGTAAACAAAGAGAGCTACAGTGCTCTCTGTACCTTCACCTGGTACCAAGGTTCTCGGGGCAGATTAATCATTACCCCCTGTGGCAGAGCGCAGGCCATGCCCACAAGCTCAAAGCAGGGAGGTGGTGGCAGGGGATGGGGGGGCCCACTGGTGGGGAGACTGTGGAAATGGTGAAGAAGCGGGGACCGGGTGTACAGCACAACAGACCAAATGCATGCCCGGCAGCTTGCACGTCCCTAAAGCTTAGGCAGAGGCATCCAGATCTTTCCCAACCACACTGATGGCATTAAATTTGATGTTTTGTAATCAGCAGCATTGGCCAGCCCAGTACAGGACAGGAGCGCTGTTCCCAGCCTTCGCTTCCGAGGTGCAGGGGTGTGATGTCCCCACCTCCTCGGGGCAGTGTCTTCCAGGCTTTGCCACAGGTCTCTGCTATCTGCTGTACCCTGGGATGTATTGCCTTCATGCCAAACCCAGTGTTTTAAAAAAATTTTCTGAAAGTGTGTAGTTTGTTTTAAATGTCATCCCCCCCCCCTTGTGGATGGCGCTGTCAAAATAATGAAAGAAAAGCTGCAGGTTCACGCATGTTTCATGTCTGTCATAATCGTGATTGAGTAAGCGGACAGTCCTGCCGTGAGAATCCCAAGTCTACCTAAAACGAGGTCTGTGTTTGTGGCTCAGGGAACTTAACCCTGTACAGACAGAGAGGCCACGGTGTAGACAAGCACTCGGTGACAGACAGGGACAGACGGCTGTGGCACAGGTAAAGCTGAATGCCACAGAATGCTGACGTGCCAAGACCCCCTTCAAAGGCCTGGTCGTGCGCTGCAGAGAGACCTCAGAGACAG